GCCGCGCGGGCGCCGCGGGCTCGGGGCGCGAGCGCGGAGCTCCCAAACGGGAGGGAAAAGGCGGGTCTCCGGCTTGTTTTGATTCGGCTTCACTGACACACTCTGGCCCCGCCCCGGCCGTGACGTCACTAGAGCGCGTGTCTGGTCACGCCCACCTGGTGACCTCACGCCACACGGGCCAGCCCGCGTGACGTCACGCCACGCGCGGAGCCCACCACCCTCGAGTGACGTCATCCCTCGAGCAGGCCCCTCCTCCCGGACCCTTGGAGGTCTGGGAGTCTGCGCACCACCTGGCCTCCGGTGGCCTGGAATAGTGATCCGATACATGTAAGTTGGTCTGTGGCTTGGTCTGTGGCACCGTCTCCTTTCTCCCACCTTAATGTGATTGAGACTTGAAACAATCTGGCCCAAAAAAATTGTCGAACAGGAATGGAAAATAAAGGATTTAGATTAATGATCCATTGAAAGACTTTGCCCTTCAGGAGCAATGTGAAGTTCCGTAATTATGGGAATGAACATCAGGGACCCAAAATGGGAAGTCATCACAGTCTTGTGGTGAAATTGCCCTTTCAAACTGGACTCAACATCCCGGAATGAAGCTAAATGTTGCTGTGTCGGAGAGACACACCCTGCCTGGGAAGAAACTCAATCTTGAAGGATAGGGGATAGAGATGAGCTGTCCTGAAAGATAGGTGACCACCTCAGTGAGCAGGAGATTAGAAGGTGACGCCTTTGAAGAGAGGCTATGAGTGAGGGCAGGAGACCCGAGAAGTTTCATAAGGTCACTTTTCTGAAAATGAATTTTACATTCACCATCCCAGCTTCTTCACATCCTCAGGTCTCAGCATCACATTTCCTTCAGGAAGATCTAACAGACCACCTTCCCCAAAGAGTTATCAAAAGTAACACTCCATTTGTTTCCTTCATCCAGCTCTAACAGGGTCAAGTATATGATTTCTGATTTCCTAGTACTCAGTGAAAGCACACTCAGTTAAATTTCCATGAGTAGGAGATTTAATCAGTGTTGGGCACTGAAGAAACAATTAACAATTGTTTGTTGAATGTATAAATTAGATTTTTCCCCATAAAATGATGGAGGAAAAACTATTTTAGCTGGTGATTTACAATTTTCCCCTTCTGTAGAGTAGTCTTTAATGAACCCAGCTAGCTCCTTGATAAAGACTGTAGCTGTGCTGAGAAGCATAGATAGGTAGGGAAGCATAGTGTCCTCCCAGGCTCACGGGGATTTTGACCAGGAGTGTTGGATAGTCGCAGTGGAATCCACAACAGTGTCTGAAGCAGGAGGAAGGAGTGCCTGATTCTTGGGAGCAATTACTAGTTGGACTTTTCATTAAGAAAATGATGAGCCTTTTAATTCCCTGATATATGCTACATGAACGTGACCCTGTAGAGGACTGTACTGATTGATAGAGGGATGGGTGGATGAGTGGATGGATGGGTGGTGGATGGATGGGTGGATGGATGGATGGGTGGATGGATGGATGGATGGATGGATGGATGGATGGATGGATGGATGGATGGATTTGTGACTATTTTTGTGTCTATTTCTCCCCTATTCCAATGTTCTCGAAGCACAGGAGAGTAAGGATTTTCCTAAGTCTAGAGTCTAACAGAAAGCCTGACACAGAGTAATTGTTTAAAAACTTGTTGCAAGTAGAAGGCCTAAAGCACGCTTACTTTTTTACATTTTTCTGAATTAAAAGCCTCCACTAAATCATTCGTTTTCAAGGAAGTCTTCTCTGACAACCCAAAGCTAGACTCACCCCTTAGCACAGCCCCTAACTTCCTAACACCCCAACCCTGTGCTCCCTGTGCCTTCCCCCAACAGTTGGTATACCTGACAGTGGAATTGCCTATCTCCTTGTCTCTTGGCTGGGCCCCACTAGACTATAAACTCTAATGATGGTGGGAGCTATGTCTGTCAGAATCACTGTATCCTTAGTACCTACCACAGTTATATGGTACACGCTAGGTATGTAATGAATGTATGACAAATACATGACTACTAGATAAGTAGAGACATGCGCTGAAGGTAACTAGTGAGATCTGGTTGCGTACTTGGATATAAGGGATGAAACAAAGCATGAATTCAATCAAGATATTCTGAAAACTGGAGGAAATTATGACAATGATTAATTTAATGGAAATTTCAGAAGTTCTCAAAGAATATAATGAGTTAATAGCCCATTTAGACTTAACTTCATTATTGATATCCCCACCAGAGATGATGAGTAATAACAAAATATTTTGGTGACCTTGCCATTGGTCTTTCTGTGTGTGTGTGTGTGTGTGTGTGTGTTTTAAGGCAATAAGAATGAAGAAACTGTGAGAGCGCAAGAAAATTGAGGTAATTATTTTCTTGAATAAACACATTGCTGTTGTGCCATATTGGATCAGAATAAGTGTGCATGTACCCTGCAGACAGACATTCACACCAGCTGCCTCCCACCTCTCCATAAATGAGACTTAAGAATTGGAAACTTTCCCACAAAAATACCATACTTGGCTCAATACACACAGACATTCAGCCAGTTGCTGTTCTTGTTAATTGTGTAAGCTACCTCTTTCTCATTCAAACTGAAACCAATGACAAGGAGGAAAGAGAGCTGGGCCACTTTTTCCATGCTAATCTATTTTTAGGTTTATTCCAATTTGATGCAAATAGTTTTGATTATATTGCTACTCCAAAATATACTAAAGTCAAGATGTTAGAAACAGAATTTAAGTGAGGTTAAAGGACTTCAATTTCTACTTCCATAGAAATTGTGAACATTCCATAATTGCATAAGAATCTTGCTGTTTTAGCCCTTTTATCTTTCCCTTTTTGTACCAATTTCTGAATGGAAGGAAGAGAAGGAAAGAGAAAGGGGAGGAGAAAAGGCAAAAAGGAGGAACCTGCTAAAAGATGGAAACACAAAGCCCTCCCCTCAGATGCTTCCAGAAAGAAATATAAAGAGCTCTAGGAAAAGGAAGTAGTCAATGTGCTTGCCTTCTCTTTTATTAATTTCCCTGATCAACTCAAATGCTCTCAAATGAGTATCAAAATAATTACATCTCTGCCCAGGCTTTCCATCCCCAGCTTCAACACTCAGGTCTTTAAAAAGTTAAAAATAACACAGCAACAAATCAAGGTCATCAATAGTAAACAATTTACACTCTTGAGAAAAGAGACAAGCTAATCTTCAGACTCAAAATAAGCGGACATTATTTCAGGACTCTTGTTCTGGTTGATTTTTTCTGCTTGACATTTGTGCCTGGCTCCTGAACTCTAAGGTCAGCTAAGTCATTTGGGCTAGAGTTAGCCTGGTTTGTTAAAGTTATTTCATGTAATTGAGCAACCTGTATTATCTCCATGTATTAGTTTTTCTTTTCTGAAAATAGCATCTCCTATGCCAACATGTTTAGTTCAAGGAATAATAAATGTGATTATAAAGAACTTTGATAAAAGTGGAATACTACTAAAAAAAAAGGAATACTAATATAAATAATAACATCGACTGCTAAGTAACATTATAACATTATACTATTCCCAATTATCAATGTATTTTTATTGTGCCTTCAATATATAGCAATATATTTTAAATAAGTATTCTCAAAATCTCTCTTTGGGCCTTTAGTTGTGACTTTAACATTTTTACTTCCATAATCTATAAAAGTAGTCATTTTAAAATAACAGGATTTCTGTTCTGCAAGTCTTGGGCTTATAGCTTACTCCAACCTCTGTGTCTTCTTTGTTTATATGGTTGTCCCAACTCAGCAGCAACATTGTCTTGGGGCCTCATAATCTAAACAGGATGTTTCTTATAAAAGAAAGATCAAGTCTAATCTTTTCTGAAGCAGATTTCCCTGGACTCATACCATTCAAAACTCTCCAAACCATGGGTCATGGTTAGCAGTTGTGAAGTTAATTCAGAGTTTCTACAAGCATTTTTTAAAAACTGAAACAAATTTTAAAATATCAGAATGCATTACATACAGAAGTAAGTATTGCTTTATGAACCATTTTATTTTATAAAATTTAGTTTATGCACACACACATATTTCTGATGTGTGTAGCTTGTCTTTCTACTGTCTTCAGACTAGTTTAAAGTCTCCAAAGACAGGGATCAGTGATTTCATCTTTTGGTTATCTTCTTGTGACATTACCATCAAGAGGGCTTTGCTTACCTGGCCCAACCATATGTGAAGGTTCCTCCAATTACTAAAAATGTATCTACTATATGACCTAGGGATTGTACTCCTAAGAATCTACCCAAAGGACACAAAAACATTGATCTAAAAGGAAACTTGCACCCCAATGTTAACTGCAGCACTATTTACAATAGTTAAGATATGGAGACAACCTAAATGCCAAAAAAGATGAATGGATCAAGAAGATGTGGTCTATATACACAATGGAATGCTATTCAGCCGTCAAAAAGATAAGCTTGTGCCTTTCACAGCAAGTCGGGCAGAGGTAGAAGGGATTATGCTCAGTGAAATAAGCAGAAGGAAAAAGAAAAATCTCTGGTGGTTTCACTT